AATAATAATAATAATAATAATAATAATAATAATAATAATATCAGATCTGGGAGGCAGTAGCATTTGTAAGCTGCCTACCAATTGGATCAGCTTGATAGCACAGAGAATCTTCATGTTCATTCCTTGGGCATGAATTACACTGCAATTAAGATTAAGTCTGAAACATGGGCAGATCTACATGCATATGCTTTATACCTCTATGGCCCCCAATGGAAGTAGCCACCATCCAAGAGTGTTAGACATGGAAAGGAGAGCCAGATTCATATTTGTAATTGTCTGTAAGACTGGGTTAGTAACAGTTGCCTTATCTGGACCAACTTCTGGGTTGGCATTTGTGTAGCTCTCCATATGTTCTTGAACAACCCCAGTCAACATCACCATTGGTGAGTACTGGTGGAAACTGAAGGTCAGAAGGATCTGTACCTATCCTGAATGAAATCTACACACCAAAAGGCAAGACTCTGCACAGATGCATTTTAAATCATTCTTTGATTTATAAAGACCAGTAATTTCTGGAGGTGTTAAAAAGAGAGGATGATGCCATATTACGCTATTCTTTGTTCTTTCCAACCTCTGCTATGAATTAATGAAAGCCAATGGTAATGCTTGTGATGCTCCCACACACACACACACTTTCAAGAGAGGAAAGGAGGAGGAGGAGGCTGGAAAGTCCCAGTGGCACTATGACATCACGTATTTGCATAATTCAGGAGGCAGCATGTTGTAGTGGTTTGGACATTGGACTACAACTCTGAAGACCAGGGTTCAAATCCCTGCTCAGCTATAGAAGCCAACTAGGTGATCTTGTGCAAGTCACATACTCTCACCCTCAGAGGAAGGCAAAGACAAACCCCCTCTAAACAAATATTGCCAAGAAAACCACTTGACAGGTTTGGTTTAAGAATGCATTAAGTCAGAAATAACTTGAAGGTACACAACAACAACATTTGCATAATTTTCATGGGTTTCCAAATTCCAAAGGCAAAGTGCTGGTAGATGACTGTGCATATATTTGTATGACATCTTCCTAGCTGCTCTGTTGCTACTGAAACTCTTGGTCTTCATAGCACTTCAGCAGTTCTGGAAGTTATAGTACAAAAAGTAATTTTTGTGCACTCAAGTAAGGTGTTGCATAGAACACATATGCAAATAACTAGGGAGGCCTTTCAGCTATTGTTGGGTGTGTGGGTAGGCATTGGATAAAGTGAGACTTGTTTTGAGTAACTTCACCCTGAAATGTGAAGAATTTCTGGGTTACTTCATTTCTTTTCATTCTTCTTACAATGAAGACCAAACAGGACAAGACATTAGAACAGAAAGTTTTGCATGCTTTAAAAAATTGTGACAGTCATTAACATCACTTTTATCTGGCTAATTAAAACTACCGGTATTTTCTGTGTCAATACAGCTATGTTTTATTCCTTTGCTTCAGAAGACAATGCAACATTGAACGGCTTCTTTTTGTAGTTAGTGGCTTGTTGATGCAAACCATGCATTAAAGATCTTCCTAAGGTCTTCTTAATTGCTCAGAGAGAAGGCAGGCAGCAAATACACCTTTGCATGTATATGCCTTTGTCACCTGTCAACTTATGGTGACCCCATGAATTTCTTAGGGTTTTCTTAGGTAGGGAATACTCAGAGGTGGTTTGGCCAGTTCCTTACTCTAAAATATAGCCTAAGCCTCCTGGTATTCATTGGTGCTCTCCTATCCAAGAATGAACCAAGGCTGATCCTGCTTAGCTTCCAAGATCAGGTGCCTTTAGAGTATTTCAGCAAATGCACTCTAAAGATTTAATCCAAGGTTGTGTGGTAAAACAATTTAAAATTTACAAAATGTAACAATTTAAAAGAAAATTGAGGCAGAGAGAGTGTGATATGTCCAAAGTCACCCAGTGGGTTTCTACAGCTGAATGGGGTAAGCTTATTGCATGGCACTTAAGAAACGGGAACGGAAAGGAACGGAATGGAATGGAATGGGGCAAAAATGCATTTTACTGGACAAGAGAATGCCACCAATGCCACTGGGAGTCCTCAAGGCATTCCCCAGCCATTCCTGGCAGCAGATTTTGAAGAACATGAACCTTCCTTCAAAAATTGGCTGCCAGGAACGGCTGGGGAATGCCTTGGGGACTCCCGGTGGCATTGGTGGCATTCTCCTGTCCAGTAAAATGCGTTTTTGTCCCATTCCATTCCATTCCTTTCCATTCCCATTCCTTAAGTGCTGTGTGATAAGCTTAGGGATTCAAACGCTAGTCTCAGAGTCATCGTCCAATGTTCAAAACACTACACCACACACTCTTAGAACAGTATAACTGTTACTGGTTAGTTGCAAAGAAAGAGTGGTGCAGTGCTTTGAGTGTTGGGTTTGGAATCTGAGAAACCAGAGTACAAATCCCCACTCAGCCATGGAAATGTAATAGATGACCTTGATCAAGTCATAGTCTCCCAGCCTAAGAGAAAGGCAATCACAAACCTTGAAATAAATCTTATGAAGAAAATCCTATGATAGGGTCACCATAAATCAGAATTGAGTGAGAAACACATAAGAACAACAACAAAGGGGCTTTGCAGACAGGCAGCCATGGGCCGCCCTGAAAAGTGGAGGATTGGGGCTGAAGCTGCCCCACGCCACAGCCCCAATCCACCTTTTCGGGCAGAAGAGGCGCCCAAAGAGACACCGCATGTCTCTTCCACATCCCTTCCGGCCGAGGATGTCTGGACACTGAGGTGGAAGGATGTCATTGGTGTGCTCACTGTGTGTAATGGCAGGTGCTCCGATGACGTCCTCAGGAAGGGGTTGGGGCATCCGGCATCTGGCTGCCCCTCCCCTTCCCTTGCTCGAAGACAGCACTTTGCACCATCTGCAGAGCCCAGAAGTCACAAAAACTGATCAGCAACTTATAAGTGCAGTTTGAACCTTATTACAGGTGCATAGGCTTTATTCTGGCAATATTTTACTACAAGAAGAAATAAAAGGAAGCTTTTAAAAGGTAGGCTTCCTTTCTAGCTAAAATGTTTATTTTAATTTTTATATTTCATTCTTCTTTCTATAAATCAAATGGTACTTATGTTATTGTGAAATGTGAGCAATAGTAATGGTTCTCTCTAGCAAAGTAATTAAATTGTCAAGGCAGCAGCTGAATAATTAGTCTCATGGCCACCCATCTCAGAATTTAGCAAAAGAAGGAAAACAAGCTCAGTCATTTTGGTTAAAAAAATTAAAGTACACTCATCCCTCCACATTCACTGAGGTTAGGGGCACAGGACGCCGGTGAATGTGGAAAAAACACAAATAACAAAAACACTATGTTTTTACCTGAAAGAACCTCTCTCTAGGAATCTCTAGGTTCTCCAGAACAACTCTGTGGTCAATATCTGCCAGATATTGACCATAGAATTGCACTGGAAGAGCTACAAATGCTTAATGGAGTCTCTAGGTCAGGGGTCGGCCACCTAAGGCCCGTGGGCTGCACCCAGCCCACGGAGGCCTTCGGACCAGCCCCTGCCCAGTCCTGCCATCACCGTGGCCACAGGGATCCTCCGGGGTGCCATTTTGGATTCCAAAATGGTGCCCAGTCTTGCGCAACCTTTCCCATCCTGCCCCGTGATGGGAAAGGTCATGCAAGACTCCGGGCACCATTTTTTAATCCAAAATGGTGTCCTGGAGGACCCCAGCACAGTCGAGGGAGCCCTCCTGGGGGGCCCTGCGGTGGCACCGGGCCTCTCTGAGGCCCGGAGCAGTCGAGGGAACCATCCTAGGCTGCAAAAATGGTGCACAGCCATCGTGCTTATGCGCGCACAATGTAGTGGGCACGATTTTGTTTCCCAAAATGGCAGGGGGCCCACGTGCACACGATGGTGGGAGCCATGCATATGCGCGCGTGCGTGCACAAGCACGCACAGATGCCAGCCCCAGCACCATTTCCCCCCCTCCCAGCCCTCCAGCAAAAAAGGTTGCTGACCCCTGCTCTAGGTCCTTTTGATTTTGACTTTTGATTAAAGATGACCATAGAGTTGTACTGGAGGACCTAGATATTCCTAGAGATAACATATTAATAAAATCCATGAATAATCAAATCCGCAAAAGTCAAATCCACAAATGCGGAGGGAGACAGCTACTTACAGTGTACAGCTACTTACAAATTACTTGTGCATAGCCAAATACATGGTGAAATGGAGATGAGAGAGAAGAGAAAATGTGGCTGCAGGTTAGGGAGGTTTAAGAAGAGAATGGGTATAGCAAAGGAGGATGTCCGCAGAAAGGCAAATTAGCAGTTAGCTTAGACATGCAAAACATTGCTAACTCTAACAGTGCTCAGGTTTTGGTAGGATACAAATTTGCTTTGTTTTGTTGTATCCTACTGTTTCTCACTGGAGCCCATTTAATTAATTTAATTAATTGATTATACTGGAACCCAGTTAATTAATATAACTAATTGATTACTTGTTCATGAAATTCTTAATTTTAAGGAATATTTATATCAAGTTCTAATAATCTATTCCCACCACCCACCCCAAAAGCAGTCTCTTTTTACTTCAAGTATTTTTCCAGGAGTTGTATATGCCATGGCATCTGGGTTCAGACATCAAAATACTTCAAAGAAGGGAGAAAAACAACAACATGTCTTGCAAGAGCCAAGGAAAATAATGAAAAATCCATTAAACTGTGAACTTGAAAGGGCAGACTATATTCTAGCTGGGAAATCAGCCTCACAAACTGGTTTCTCCAGCCTGCAAAGAAAGGCTGTGAATTTAAATCTCTAATCAATTAATGCAGGGGTAGGCAACCTGCGGCCCGGGGGCCGGATGCGGCCCTATGAGGCCTTTGAACTGGCCCCAGGCCGGTCCTGCCCCCCCGCCATGATGATATTGATTATTGTTGTTATTACTTGTTCTTGGGGTTTTCTTGGCAAAATCTCCACAGGGGTTTTGCCATCATGGCTTTTCTGGGGCTGAGAGAGTGTGCATGCATATTTTTAAATTTTATTTTATTTTATTTTTATTATTTTTATTATTTTATTATTTTGCTTCGGCCCGCCAATTGTCTGAGGGACAGCAACCCGGCCCCGAGCTCAAAAAGGTTGCCTACCCCTGAATTAATGGATAAGAAATCAATTTTGTTTCAGTTTTAATAGGAAGTTAAGCAAATTCACAAATATCTTCATATTCTCAGTAGAAATAATTTGAAATGTAAAAGAAAAACATAAATGTGGGAGAAACTGAAATTGACAGAACCAGACAGCCATCCAAGTCCCAGAGCCTAGACTGCTTGAACCTCGGATTTGAATCCATGTGCATTCATCCATTTTAGCACTGAACTAGGATTGCTACCTGTTTCTTTTTCTTTTCCCCCTGAGTGGCTCTTCATCTTTAACACCTACACTGCAGGCAGGGTCAATGGGTCTCTTTATGCTGGCATTACAAGCTATATCAGTTGAATCTGTTCTGGTGCAAATGCAGGAAAATGTTCTTTCAGATCATTTTTGAAAAATACATGCAGTTGCCAAATTCTTCCTGTTCAGGATGTAAAGGATTTGAAGGGTGTTTTTTAAATGAAAGTGAAGGAAAGCACAACTGACAGATTTTCTCATTCCTGCTCCAGATGTTGTTGGCCTGCCTCCTTAGCTATACTGTCTTGTACTTGTCTGAATTGCAGTGCACCAACATTTGGAGGACTTCACATTTCCCAGCTGTACTGCAATGAGTCTGATCCCATGTCCAACATAGAAGGACAGAGCAAAGAGCCTTGGTGGAAAAATAAAAACCACTAACACTGTCAGGGCA